TTTGTAACTCTGTATTGTCTGTATTGTGCTTGTGATATGTTGTAAAATGTTGTATGTCTGTTAATGTTTCCCTCCTTTTATCCTTAAAATAAAAAAAAAAAAAAAGAATAAAAATGGGTGCCAGGCAGAGAAGAAGCAGTGACAATAAGACTCACTTTTGGCCCTCCAGACCCCACACATGCCAGGAAGTCCTCCTTCGCCTAAGCTCTTCTTACTCAACGCCCTTCTCTGAGTATGATGCCTGTCATGTACCACAGCAGTCCAAGTACTTTCTAAACAGTGACTCTCTCAATAAATGATAGCTTTCATCTAACACCTGGCAAGCAAATATGCTCTGAGACTAGTGCCCCAATTCTTTGAGGGCAGAACTGGCAAAAATGAGCTGGGAAAATTGGAGTGCTGGGCACAATACCAACATGAGCATCGCCCATGCCATGATGAAGCACTGCGTTCCAATCAAGACAGCAGTGTCTACAGTTCTGTTGCCGATCTCTTTTTGTAAGTTCTTGCTAGAGGGTCTGCCTTTGTGGTTAAGCAAAATACAAGCATCGTGTCACTTGGCAATTTTAGGATAAATGCGGTGTAAACTGTCTACCAACCACAAAAGTGAGAAAGGAATTGTGTTTTTGCTATGGATGGGTCTGTGCAGATGACAATCTGAGAATTGCTGCTAGCAGGCATTTCTGTAATCAAGCCCCATGTGGTACAACAAGAGCTTTTAACAACTAAATCACTATTTAGTAAAAAGGCATGCAATTTTCTCAGTTCACAGAAATGGACAGATTGTGGTAAATGCTTTTTATTGCTACTGCGTGCCACGGTGAAATCACCGGTACCTCAGTGGCCCATATCCGGGATAATACAGCAGAATAGTTGCCACATAATTACATTCAAAGACGGGAACAGAAACTTAACTCATTTTTAAATTCTCTGAGAAGTCTTTATATCTAAAATAGGAAGACTCAGTATGGTGCTGCTAATTAAAGATGTAAATGTTGTCCACGTGCTTTAGGGGCATCAGAGTTTGAAATCAGATTCTATTTGTGAGTGCTATTCTTTATACAACTTTACACTTAAATTCTGTCTTCTTTCCTCTTTTAATACACTTGTAGCCTTCAACAAAATCTTGGTAAAGTCACTGATCTTCTTACGCCCTTTCTGCCACTGTCAAATATATAAACACACATTTAACAGAAAGCCAGAAGAATGAAATTTGTTCATTTACTTAAATAATTTGGAAAGTCAAACATTGCCATATTTAACAAGTTGTTTCTTATCTTGCCCTCATTCCTTCGTTTTATATTGGAAGCTCCTTCTCATGTCGGCAAAACTGTTCACACATGTGAGTACTAAGTGTTCCATACTTTATGTCAGTTACTGATTCGTTGCCCTTTCTTAGATGGGAAGGCTGTTTCCAAGTGTTTTCTTACTATTATGGATCATATGATGATGACTATCACTATATAATCAATTCTGGTCATTCTTTAAGTTGCATGAACAAAATTACTACAGAAAAGATAAGGAAAGCTTTTGAGATTTGTGAGTGAATAGGCAAACCGTCTTCCACGTATCTGCCATCGAGTCAAATCCTTTACTTCCTTTCCTGTACCCATTATTTATACATGACAATTTTGGATTTAAATTTACCTTATTTTCCTTCTGGCTCCCTCACCTTGTTTCACAGCATGTTGTGTAACTTTGATTTGTGAGCTCATGTCTAGCAGAGCACTGTACGGGCAAGTGGGAAACCTGGGCTGAGGTTCCTTTTCCAGAAAGAATTTGCCCTGGATTGTGCAGAGGGTCGCGTGAGGCTAGAATGTAGGCCCACCTGAATTATTCGGTTGAGTTGGCATTTACAGGTCTCAAGTATAAATTCTCGCTTCAAACTATGCTTACCAATTTTTATGGGAGGTGTTTTTCCATTCACAACCCAGGAGGAAATGGGTACATTTTCTCGTCTCTCCTTAATGACAGATTTTTTTCCCCTATTTTTGCCATTTTTGAAGGTACAGCCTTTGGCGTGGGGTTTATCTGACATACGGAGGCATTAAGACCAGTGCCTTGGTGCCAGTGCCCAAGACACTGCCATTTGCTGTCCCTCCATATAACTGTCAAGACAGGCTGGGTTCAACTAATGGACCGAGGTGGTTATGGGGAGGTTGACTTGCTATTGTCATCGTCACACTTTCAGCTTACTTAAAGACACTTACATAGTCTGCTGTAGTCAGTAGAGGGAAACCAGACAACCCCATGCCCTGCCACATGGAGAGTTGAGGACTTCACCCAAGGCCCTAGAATATCAATAAGAGTGCTGAGGTGAGCCATAGTTTCAATGCCTGCTTGTCTCTCTAGAGGCCAACTGCCTCTGATTTTGACCCAGAGGAATGTCCATGGTTTTTGGAATTTTTAACGGCATGTACCTATTTTTGACCCTCCAATTTGTAGGGTTCTACAATGGAAGACGTTTCCACTGTATTGCCAGATGTGGTCCCTTGTGCCCTCTCCAGACTTCCTGTGTCTCGCCCCCACTGCCCAGAAGTCTTAGCATCCATCCTACAGTTTCCCTCCCCACCAGCTCGTGCTGAGCCACATCAGCATCTGTGTGCCTGACCCATCCGACATCCCAGCCTTTCCACTATGTCAGCGCCTCCCTCTCAGCAGCCTGTTCCTTCGTGGTCAGCCACCTTCGTATGGACCTTTTCCACACCAATGAAACCACGTTCAATTTTTAAAAATTTCATCGTATCATCTTGCACCACAATCTCTTATATTTCCAATTCCACTACTGAAGTACATCTGGCATTTCCAGCCATTCACACGGGCTGCTGGGGAAATCCACAGAACCTGTAGATTCCACTGCTTATATTCACGTTCTGTGACTGGAGACTCTCAACTGCATTCGTCTTTTTCATGATACAAGAGTTTTTTCTTCCAGTAAACCTGTGACACTCTTTGTAACACTTCACAAAGGAATTGTCCTCCTACCTCACAAAAGAAATGTCAGCCATCAGGGAACTTCACTGAGCATTCTTGCTACCAAATCACACAGAGGGAGACAGGGTTTCAAAATCATCCCTCAATAATCCTCATCCTGTATTTAAATAATCTCTTGCTTTGAGTGGGGCCCGAACTGAGTGACTCCCTTCTAAGGAACAGAATATAGAGAAAGGGACATGATACAACTGCTGCGTTTACGGTATGAAATGCTTGTGACTTGCGCCTTGCCTGCCCTCTTTGCCTTTTCTTTCCGGCTCTCCCAAAAAGAAGCCCACTACTATCTGTGAGCAAGGAATAGGGTGGCCTGCTGGACAGCGGTCAGCAAGGAGCGGAGGTCCTCAGGCCAACAGCTTCCCAAGTGAGCTTGGAAGCAGGTCCCGCCCCAGTTGAGCCAGGCAATGATGACAGTCCTGGCAGAGACCTTGGCTGCAATCTAGGAGCGATTCTGTGCCAAGGGACCCAGCTTGGATTTTTGACCTACAGAAATAAGAGGTAGGTTTGTAAAGCAGCTGCATGTGGGGGTCATTTGTCACATGGCAGTAAGTAACCTTACACATGCCCACTCCTCCATCCTCCATGCTCTGGAGATGGGGCTTTGCCTTCAGTCCACACTGGGGGGAGGGGTCCCCTCCCCTCCCATCTTTGTAGGGCTCTGGGCCCCCCAAACATGCTCCTTCTCTAGGGTCCCCCCTGATTCCTGGACTCCCCAGACTTTCTTGTCACCTTTGTCCCCTGCCTCTTTCCTTCTCTCTCTCCCACAGAGTATAAACCAAGGGAAGACCCAGGCTGTCTGCTTCCTGCTTCCTGCTTCCTGCTTCCTGCTCAGTCCCGCCCAGCCTCCTTCGAAAGAGCCAGCTCGGTAACTACACTGTGAACGCCTCTGTCATGAATGGATGCTAACATTTTTCTTCAGCTATAATCTAGTCAATGTGTTTGGTAGTGTTTACCATTGCCACATACCCTGTTTTAAACATGTATAATTTAGTATGAAAAATGATGAAAAAATATACACATAACAATGTAATATTTGCTAAGGTTCTTCTTGTTTTTTTTTGTTTTTGTTTTTGTTTTTTGCTATTTTTACGGTTTTTGTTTCACTGTTGTTTTTTTCTCCTAGAAAAAGACTCATCCTCCTTCAGATGTGAATATTTTCTTTCCTTCAACCAGGATCTCATTTAGCCCTTAAGACCTTTTTATGCAATTTTTAAAAAAGGAGCAGCCTCCCCCAGTTGGCAGAAATGATCTGTGCCCGGCATGGTAAGCAGGGACAGACTAGGCCTCAAGGGCCACATCCCCGCACAGCTGCTGCCCTCTACAGTGAAAACCTCTGTGTCCTCATGCTGCCACTGCGCTCACCTTCCCCACAAGCCAAACGGACATAGTAAAGGTCATAGCAGGGTACAAGACCACAGGGTAAGTACCGGAACAGCCAGTAACTAATGGGAAATATTGAAAATGATTACACACCAGAGCGATGTCCCGAAAACTATGTATAAAAGAAACACATGTTTATAGCAGCACAACTCCTAACAGCTAAATCTTGGAAGTGGTGTATGTGTCCATCAACAAATAAATGCACCCAAAAAAAGATAATTTATACACAATGGAGTACTTCTCTGCTATAAAGAAGGATCTCTGAGTCACTGGTAGGAAAGTGGAGGCATCATGAGACCATAACGGTGAGTGGAACAAATCAGACACACAGCTTCAACACCTCATAGCTCCTCTTATATGAGAAACCCAATGTACAAGTAAAGGGTAGATAATAGGAAAGAGGAAGATAGAGCCTTTGCAAAGGGAAAGATGACCAAAAGATGACGTGGCGGGGGCGGGGAGGAAAGGCACGTAGAAAGAATTAAGACGTGTGAGGTGGATGCACCAGCTCCTCACAACGAATGCAGTCGTTATGTCTTCCAAACACGCACTGATAAAATGAAAATTCATAAAAGACATTAATCCGATCGCTGTACCCTAGATGACTAGGGGCTCCATCTTGCTCTCCCCTCACCCATGATTCCAGCCAAGCTGAAGTCTCACGATGGACTTCCTCACCTCAATGTCTCTTCTCACTCTGCGTCTTTTGGTTGAGTTTATTTTCCCACACTTTCGTTTGTTAAGTCAAAAGCAGACACAATTTTAAACACATTATACTTTTCCCTTCCCCTCCTGATTACCTGAACCCCTAGAATCTCTCTCTCATTTCCTGTTGTTAAGGGCATCATTTCATTTTCCGATGCTGAGTAGTATCTCATGTAAAAATGCTGATGCCCCTTGACCGTGAGTTCCCGGAACCAAGTTATCTACCTTTCTATGTCCTCCACACGGCTGGGGGAAGGGAGATACATGCGGAATATACTCAAATGAAGAATGATACATTCAGTCTTCCCTTTACAAAGAGTTCTACAAGAACAAAATTCTTTGTGTTCTTAAAATATTAATTTTAAATTAAAACTTAGGCTTACAGTCCATTCAGTCTTCCCAAATTTTTTCACAAATATAAAAAAGGGTAAATCACAAATTCTGAAATGACTATTTTATAAAAATTAAAGGAGGCGGGTAAATCAGAGTTAGAAGTTTTTCTTTTTATGTGTGTGACACACACTTAAAAGTAGCGTATACCTCTAATATAAGCTACTTTGCGGAAGATTTGGTCTCTTTCAAAGAATTTTTAGGTTAACATGAAAAATGGCAAAATATCACCTTCTTTTATACTTATGTTTTAGAACTGAAAAGCTGAAGACTAGGAAGAAATCTTTCACTGAAGCCAGTTCGGTGACAATAAACATGACGTTAAAAGTTTATCACACTTGTTACACTTTTTGTTTTCTCTTATTTTCTTAAGCCCAGGTTCTGTTTGAATGAATGCAATTTAGCAAAGTTGCTTTTTCGGGAACACAAAATTTTGTGGCTTGTGAAAAGAAAAAAAAAAAACGTAATCTAGAACATGCGTGAGAAGAAAGACCTTCCAAAGCTGTCTTGAGAGGCAAATGTGTGCGGCGGCCTCTCTTGCTAGTCGTCCCCTGGGCATTATATAACTCAAAGGTAATTAGAGATTGAGGCTTGGACGGCAAATTCCGTCCCACAAAGGATAATCCGGTGTGGAGACATCAAGTTCGCAGATGCTCCACATTTCCAGCCAAGATAAAGAAAAACTCTTTGGATATATACATCTCTGTTAATCCTGCTAGAGATCAACTTAGAGGAGGTTTAAGTTAGCCAAGGACATTGGCTTTCTCTGACATATCTCATTCCAGAAATGCGATTGTGCTTTATGGGCTAAAAACAGCAACTCTGTAAAAGTTTCTAAAAACTTTCAAAACATTTGTTCACAGACTGGAACACAGACTTTTTTTTTTCTAAATTGAAAACAAATGTCCAGTTAGAAAGACTTAATATACTTAAGATAAATTGTGTTCTGAAAACAGTTTACCCTGATTGGATTTTTATTCAACAAAACAGTCCGATAATGGTTTTAATAGATTGGAAGAGAAGTAAACATTAAGTAGTTAAAAACAAAAAGTAATTAATCTAATATCGCTTCTCAAAGACTGCAGTACTTTACAAGAGTGAACTATGCAAACAATACATTTATAGGTACCCTAAATCCATCTTCAGTAGAAGCTATTGTGTGTAAGTTTTAAGTCCCACGTGTCTGGTTGATTACATTTGATCTGTGTGATCACTTCGCCATCTAGTGTCTAAACTTCAAATAGCAGCTGAAGAGAATTTTCCTCCAAGTTCTTTCTGAATAACATTTTGTAAACTGACTCTTGAAAAACAGTTTGGGGCTGAGATATAACCCAATGGCAGAGCACTTGTTTGGCATATGTGAAGCCCTAGGTTCAACTCCCAGGATCACAAGAATAGAAGACAGTTTATTACCAAGAATGTACAGGACAGATAATTTATGTGCAAACTATTCAGCATTCTAACATTTCCAATGGTTCTAGGAAATTAAGAGCTGGTATCTGTAAAACTCATATATATCAGATGATGCAGTTTTTAAAACACAAGTAAACATGGGAATAAGTTAACTAAGTTATTTTTAGAGATCTTTTATGACAGAAATCTAAGATAGCTCATTGAACCATGAACCATGGTTAAGAAACACAACATTTGTAGACCATACAAAAAAATTGGGAACCAAATTAGCAGATATAATGTCAAAACCATAAAGTATGAGAATAACACAAGGAAATTATTGACCAGAAATATTTTCAGAATTGTTGGATTATTTGTTTCAGATGGCTACCCTGTTACAGTAACTAGTCATATAAATACTGAGAAGTCAAATCTGACAGTTGCATCTAGCTCTTCTTCATAGAAATCTGGCAAAATTTCACAGGTCTCTATTAGAATTATTAATTTTTGCTTTTGCTACAAAACAATGTTTGGTATTTTTTCAACATCCAATCAGTAAAACAAACAAGTGAATAAAAGCCATTCTGTTCTATTAGAATAGAAAAATAAATCCTGTAAGATCCTTCAGAATCTTCCCAGTACTACTGTTGAGGGGACTCAACATTGCTTGGAAAATATTAGCATGAAATTTCCAACACAACCAACTTTGAACCACTGCTCTTTAAACATCATCAAAAGAACAAAAATGTTTTGAAATTTTAAATATGATCTCAAGACTCATTTTTAAGAATATTTGCAAAATGATTCAACTTTAAGGAAATGGAGGTGATCATAAGAAGAAATCTTCAAAAATGCTTTTTATTGGGGCTGGGGATATAGCTCAGCGGCATAAGTGCTTGCTTGGCAAGTACAAGGTTCCTGAGTTCGATTCCCAGTACAAAAAAAAAGAAAAGAAAAAAAATGCTTTTTATTAGCACCTATTAATTTTACAAAACCCTGGGGCTAGGTACATATTATAGCACACATATACATACATATTGCTTCAGTCATTATCACTCTCTCTTCCACCCCTCCCCTCTCCCATTTTATTACTTTCATGTCATATTTTTTAGCTTCCACATACTGAGGAAAACATGTGAAATTTGTCTTTCTGATACTGGCTTATTTTATTTAACATGATGATCTCTAGTTCCATCCATTTTGCTGCAAAGAGCAGCTCTGCTCTTTTTTATGGCTGAATACTCCACTGCATATATATATACCACATTTTCTTTATCTGTTTATCTGCTGGTGGGCACCAAAGGTGGTTTACATCATGGCTATTGTGAATTATGCTGTGAAAAACCACGGATATACTGACTTTAACTCCTGTTGGTACATACTAAGGAGGGGTATAGCTGGCTCTGCTAGGAGCTCTATTGTGTAGTTTTTTGAGGAACCTCTATACTGATTTCCATAGTGGCAGTACTAATTTACATTCCCACCAGCAGTGTACAAGGGTCCCTTCCCGTCACATCACTGCCAGAGTTTATTCTTGAAGATCGCCATTCAGACTGGGGTGCGATGGAATCTCCATGTAGTTTTGATCTGCATTCACCTGATTGTTAAAGACATTGAACATTTCTTATTGATCATTTCATATTGAACATACTTATTGATCATTTGTACTTCATAT